GCTTTGTCCCGGAATCGCTTGACAAAGACATCAACAGATTCCCCGTCCTTCTGCTTTTCGTCCAACAACGTGCCGATCGAGACTTCTGTGTCGTCGTCGAAGAAGTTGGTGAGGAATAGTTCTTCCATATCCTCCCAGCTAGTGATACTCCCGGGCTTAAGACGTCGGTACCAATCGAAGGCAGGCCCGCGAAGGGTCCCCACGAATGACCGAACCATCAGGGCTTCGTTCCCGGATATTGCGCCGAGATGCGACTTAAAATAAATCAAGTGCTGAGTTGGTGAACCCCTGCCATCAAAAGGAGTAAAGTTAATCAAATTAAATTTCTGGGGGTAAGGAATCAGGTCCCACTCCCTTGGGTACGGGTATGGAATGCCCGTTTTCTTCACTTCTTGAGCCGTCATCAAAGCGTTGACTTTGCTCTCAAGATCGTGCATCTTCTTGTCCTCTTCCTCGCTTTTCTTCAAATAGATCTGTGGAGGTTGAGTGGCTGACTTGGTCGGATCGCTTCCGGAGTTGTCTTTATCTAGAGGATGATCTTCAAATATCGTCTCATCCTCTTCATTACGCCGACTGGATTCCGCTCTTTGGCTTGATTCCGGTTGGTGTTGCTGAACCTGCAAATCCCGCATTTGCTGCATAGTCAACTCCATCTCAGTCTTGAACTCAGCTCTGATTTCTTCGCGTTGTTTAGCCAATGCTTCTTGCAGCATGTGAGCCAATTGGTCTGGCGTAATTGCAAATGATTCTCTGGCTTGTCCAACACTGGATGCGGTATCGTCCGATGCAATGGCTGAACAAGTATCTGACATTTCTTCATCTGAAGATAGCCCCTCGTGCATTTTCCTGTAGTCTCGTCGTAGGTTGGCTCTTCTTTGTAACCGCGCCATCCTTTGAGAAAGACCCCGCTCAACTCTCCCCCCTGGAGAGAAATCAGGGTCGGGATTGACTGACTTTTGCTTCCCTTTGTTGGTCATATTAATAGTGACCTCAGGGAACTCATCTTGTCGGACTGCCGGTTTCTTCTTGTTGAAACGTCTCATCTTGGGTCTTGACGTTTCACTTGAAAGTCTTTGAAATACGGAGACTCTTGTTGAATTCGCTTTAGAGCATCCGCATTCTGTCAGCACTGCCTTGATGAGTCTCTCACAGGAGCAGTGAGACTCGTTTTCTTGTACAACTCTTTTTCTTGAGTTATTTTTCTGATAGTACAGCTCATCGTTGTTACGATTTGAGCAACCTATCTCTTTCTTCTGAACCTTGTTAACGTGCGCAGGACGACTTGTTGTCGCTTCTGAGCGATCCAAGGTTGGATTTTTAAATCCACCCCCTTGCGGGAATGGTGTCATCATCGGTCCTAGACGAGAATGAACTGGTATTCTCTCGTTCTGGACTTGTGCAGTTCTGACAGGAGGATGTTTACGACCCCCTGTATAAGAAACCACTAAGGGTTTACTTGCTGGGTTTGACTGCTCTTTGGTTGGGGCTTTGCCCTGATTATCAAATGCCAAACTAAGGAGATCTAATTCTGTGAGTTTGACTTTCAATATGTCCGGCTTGTCCTGAATCTTCACTGGTGACGCAGCAGACGGGCTTGGGACGGATGCTGAAGGAGTTGAAATGGGGTCTTCATTGACCTTCTCTTTGCCGCGGCAGCCATAACTGTCGCGGTTGTTTGATGGGCCGCGGCAGTATGGGCTGCCGCGGTTATATGATGAGCCGCGGCAGTACGTGCTGCCGCGGTTATATGATGAGCCGCGACAGTCTGTGCTGCCGCGGTTGAAGACTGACTTCCTCTGTATTCTTTGGGTGTTCTCGTTTTTGGGAACCCAAACTCTACAGTTCTTTTGTGGTTTTCCATCTACCACTTCCTTTTTGTTTTCCTGCACTTGTTGACGAAGGGCACGAGCGTGAGCAGCTTTTGCTTGACGCCTTTGTATACGCTCCTTCAGGGTAGAACGGGCTCTTTTGACCAGAGTCCATTCCTCTGTCGTAAGCTGTGCAGAGATGTGATTATTTTGCCTTTGGGGCAACTGAACCATCTTTTGATTCCTCGACTTTAGGTCCGTGTAATAATGGACCCCGTCGGTCTGTTGCATGGCCTTAGCCAATTGACGAGCGCGGCGTTGACGTTGTCTCTGACGAGCTCTCTTTGTCAATACCGGAGCATCTTGGTTTAAGGACCCTTGAACTGGTGAAGGGTCATTCGGAACAGAGATGTCGCAGGTTGATTCTTTTGCAATGACTTGGCAAGAATCTCTACCTGCGGTCTTCATTGGAACTGAAGACTCGGGAACTTTCTTGGGAGAAGAAATCTTCCTGCACTTGCGGGGTGAGGAGGATTTTGATGACGAGGATGACATATACTCCTCGTATTTTGCCTGATCGAATTCATATTCGATCTCTTCGGTGACGATGATCTTAATCGGCTGCGACACTGCGGCCTCGGCAGCGAGGCCGCTGGCTCCCACTGTGGTCGCCAGTTTGTTTTCAGCGAAAGTTGTTTCCATTGCAGATTCCATTAAAACTTCGATCGTTTACAAAGAATTACAATGAAAATAAAAGAAAATACAACTCTCGAGAAAATAACACAGAAATTGTTTATCAACTCCTGCTTTTGTGGGACTTTGCCTGTGCCGGGAATGCTTTAGTTCGTGGACCACCGATTCGTAGATCGAGAGGTTGTTTAAGGATCTCTCCTTCGTTTATCGAAGTAAAGATTTGAAAACGAATATCTTATCGATGTAAGATGTCCGTTCTTCCAAAGATCAAGTCTGAGCTTAGATCTCTAGGATTCACCAAATGATGCTTGTCAGAGGGTGAAAATTCTCTCTTTCTTTCTCAAAATCACCAAAGACTCAAGTATCTTCTGCTCCAAAAATACCCTCTCCTTTAATTCGTGCCTAGGGAGGTATTTATAGGGCTCTCAGTGCACCACAGTTGAAACGGAGGCGAAATAACTGACTGGCCGTTTTCTCTTTGGCCGCTGCAATCTACACTGCCGCGGCTATTGGCGCGGCAGTGTAAGCTGCCGCGGCCGAAGAGGCAGTTATCAGCACGTTTGATCGTGCTTAAAACCGCTCTCCCACGACTTTTAACCACCTTTTTTCGTGGTTTAACTGCTTGTCCACGTCAGCACACGTTCTGTTTCTGGTATGCTGCCACGTGGGCCTCAAAAATCATCATATAACTGTTTCGTAACTGCTGCAACACTCCTTTAACATAGCCGCGGCACCCTAGATTGCAGCGCCCAAGCCGCGACACGACAAGCTGTCGCGCTTCAGCCGCGACACGACAAGCTGTCGCGCCTTAGCCGCGACACTATATGCTGTCGCGCCTTAGCCGCGACACCATGAGTTGCCGCGCCACCTTGTGTTGCCTGATGACGAGTAAATTGTTCTCGCATGTTGTTTTGAATGGTATTTGGATGTCTGCAAGTATTTTTTGACGCCTACAAAGGATTAACCCCCATCGAGACTTTGAGTAACGATTAACACTAAACAACCATATCTCACTATATTATTCGCCTATTTTCGATCATTATCTACCAAGCATGCACCTTTGCTAGACTAAAACACACATTTGAACTGAATGGATATATTCCCATACATTCAACCACACATACATTAGCTTCTCTCCGTACGCTATGCATTAAGATAAAGATATACACTCAATGGTGGGAGGGAGGAAAAAAAAAGTTACACACACAAGACATTAGAAGATGCCGTGCATTCTTCCAGCCCTCGCTAGCACTTTGAAGGATAAAAAAACACAGAAAATACTTGTATCACTCGAACAAGTACTCAACGGTAGGCTATCTAAAAATTATTATAGATAGCTGATCCCCATCGAATACCGATGATGAAAGTTACAATTTGGCGGCTTTCAGAAGGCTACAATTTGAAAACTTTCACGTAAATTGATGAATGTTACAATCTGACGACCTTCACAACAACCGATGAAAGCTCTAATTTAACAACATTCACAATCATCAACAAGAGTTATAATCTGACGACTCTCACATTTCAAAGAGCCAAATGCAAAGATTACAAACTGATGATCTTTGCAACGATCTCTTTAAATCAAACGCAGGGTTCACCCCCAGCGTTCCAGTTCAAAACGCAGGGTTCACCCCCAGCGTTCTAGTTCAAAACACAGGGTTCATCCCCAGTGTTCCAGTTGGAAACACTGGGTTCAACACCAATATTCAAGTCCAAACGCAGAGCTCATAGCCACGTTCCAGACTCAAAACGCAGAGCTTACCTCTGCGTTCCCAGAACGAGACGCAAAGCTCAAAAGCTGCGTTGCAACATCAAAACGCAGAGTCCTCCCTGCATTGCAATACTAGAATGTAGGGGTCAGACCCACGTTTACTGCGTTTGACTGGTTCAAACAGAACCTGAATAGTTTCAAAACCGTATCTCCACTTAATGGGGTCGGTTACATCCCATTAAGGAGAGATTTTAGGGGGCGGTTACACCCCCTAATCGCCTATAAATACCTGAAAGATCAGCTTAGTTCGGATCTTTAGATCTTTTGAGCATTTTTCGAATCTAGAGATCAACAAAGGTCTTCTTCAATCATCCAATCTGGAAGCATTATTCGGCAACAGAACTCCTTGGAGTCTTGGCACTTGGCTTATTAACCGAATTTCGGTTCAAATCAACTCTTCTACAGAGTTTAAACTAGCACAGAGTTCTTAAACTCGTTAAGAGTTATTTTTAAACTTTCCACGCAAGTTTTATCAATTTTAATCCAGCGAGGTGAAACGTCGGATCGTCAACGAGAAGCAAACTCGACGCTAGTTTCGAGGGAGGCATCTCATCGACACCAAGAAGAACCAAGGTTAAAACAAAGGGAATGATCTACGTCGACCCTTCCCTCTTTCGTAATTCGGGAAACCGATTGAGGGAATTGTAATTTCTTTTTCTAAGTTTGTTAGAAAGAGATCGCAAGGAGAGAATTGTAATTAATTCTTTTTCTGAGTCCGTCAGAGAGAATAATACAAATTTAATTCTCAATTTTCTTATTCAATTTCCCCACCAAACATCAACAAATTTCATGACATTTCCAAGACAAGCAACAACATTTTGCCTGTCACCTGGCCATAATTTATTTATTCCGGTAATCGATCGAGAAAAAAAAACCAAACACAATATTTTCACCTCCTCTTCAGTCCCAGCCACACCAGAGCAAATCCAAAGTAGTCGAACTCATACAGGCGCCTCAGCAGCTGCAACTTCTGTTCATTCCATGGCGGGTATCTGAAACTGAACTCGGTCAAGAAGCTCCTCTTTAGTACTGGCTTCTCGTGACTGAACATATCGAACGTGAACTTGCCGTGATAGCTCCCGAATCCACTCTCGCCGATCCCTCCGAAGGGTATCGTGTCACAAACATACTGCAGAGAACAGTCAGTCGACTTAGTGAGAAAATGCAGGAGTCTCTCTCTCTCTCTCTCTCTTTTGAACAAACGGCCTGAGCTTTAAAAATGTCAGTTAACCCCCTTAATTTTAGAGCGTTTCAGAAAACCCCCAAACCTTTTCAATATTTTCAACGGACCGCCGCCGAACAGTGTCAGAGTGAAGTGGTAATGAAGGCCAAGATACCCTTTTGTGATATTTTGGTCGTCCGGGCGCATGGATTTTCACGTGCATATTTAGATCTGACAGGATTAGCTAAGGGGGTCATGTGAAAAAAAACATGGGAGGAGCATTAACTGACATTTCTAAAGTTTAGGGACCAAATTTAAGCGGGCTTCAGTGAAATTTACCCGTTTTCTTAATTGATGTGGGGAAAATAAAATGTAATACCTGTATCAAGGAATCATTAAATGTGACAGATCCTGAAGATGTTTCATCCACAATTCTCCTCTTCAGCTTCTGGTCATTTGTGAAGGCGTAAATGACAAGAGGTTTCGGCTTCGCCTTGATGAACCCAATACTGTCCTCAATTTTCTTCAGCTGTTAAGAGATACCCAGGAGAGAAAGTGGGAAAAAAAAATCAACATGTGCCAAGACTTGGGCACTGTATAAATGTTTCTTACCGGGAGAAATTTTTGAAATAGGCCGGTTTTGAAAAATATTTAGCGAAACTGACATTTTTGCTAAACATTTCGCAAAACTGATATCTTTTTGGCTACCTTACCAAGGCTGACCAAAAGAGGCCGGTTTTGCTGAATTTGGGTTTCGAAACAAATACGACTAGTAGCCCGGGCCCTGTGTGTTTAGTAGCCGCTAATCGACCATTGAACTAAACACAAAAGACCCATGGGACTACCAATCCCGTGGGTTTTCTATTCACAAATACAAAAACCACGGGACTACTAGTCTCGTGGGTTAAGCAGAGACTTCGTGTCTCTGTTGCCCAAAAAATGCACGGGACTAGTAGTCTTGTGTATTTGTTAGACCTATAAAAAATTAGGGCACAACAATCTCACTGGATCAACCCTCTCCCAATCTCTCTCCCCTGTTCCGTTGATTCTCTCCCAAATTACCTCCTTCTCCCTCAATTTTCTCTATCTTATTCTCTCCAAACCCAAATTGAGATCTTCTCAAAAGTTCACGGTGGCATTGTTAAACTGCGACGTCGTCTAGCCTCTCTCCGACACCGACACATTTCAACTCCTCATCAAGGTATACTTTTCTTATTTTTTTATAATTTTCTCTCTACTCTTTAGTTAAAATTGTAGTTTGGAAATATCTATATATTTAGAATAAAATTTTTCCAATTTTGATAAATAATAGGATTTAGTTAAATTTTGATAGATTAAATTTGATATAGAGGGTCTTTCAACTACGGTTTAACTAGAAATAAGATACATAAAATTTATTTTTTAAATAATATAGATAATTTGCATATGATGAATGTTAATATTTCAGTTCCGATGGCGAATAAAATGCCAGTTATTTGCTTATTCAATAGGAAACTGAGCGTTGGAATGAATAATATACCTATAGATGAGGGAGGATCTAGAAAAATGTTCATGTTATCTAGAAATTACAACTTTAATGGAATGATGGAGCAAATATACAGAGTTATTGGAATTAATCATGCAGAGTATGTCACTCAGGTCTTCTATAATTGTCTGATAAATGAAAAAAGAACAATTATTATAGAGATCATCAATGATTAAGAAATGAGTGACATGATACAACTAGCAAAAAACCAAATCTCAATCGAGTCGTTGTCCATTAAAAATATTCTAATATCCGGTGTTGCTGAAGTTTTAGATTCTCCTGGAGTGTCCTCCCGCATGCTTGATTTAGAAAATAACTCGAACGAATTTATTCATCTCCAAATGCCGTGCACTTACAAAATGACTCGAGTCCAATGACATAGACTCAACCTTCTCATTGTCCAACGTCAAGTGATATGATCCGTAATGCTTGGGGTCATGTTATGAACAATTTACCAGTTAGTTCTATTATAAAAGAGGATGAGGATACAGATGATGATTATGAAGATGCTGAAGAGGAGGAACGTCTTGATAGCATGCAGTGTGCAATTGGAGCACGTTGGATGGATGAATTTTATGTAAACAACGATTATATGGAGTCTGAAGAACCATTGCCAGAAGAGTTTCAAAATAAGGAGTGGATAAATACCTCACAAGCTGAGTTCGTTGAGCTTGGTTCTAATTTCGAACGAATCGAGGACTTCACATTTAAAAATGGAGTTCTGTTCGTGAATAAGAAAACGTTGGTTTACACTATACGTGAATGGTCAATCAAGAATCGGTCAAAGTCAAGCCAGTGAAAACTAATACTACCAACTACCATGTAAACTGCTACTTCAACGAGAAAGCTCAAGGAGAGTATGCAAGTGCTCAAAATGAAAGAAAATTAAATTTTCCACGGAAGGTTAGTGCAATTGTTAGGAAAAAAATCTAATGGGCAATTTATGATTTTTAGTTATTGCGGACTTTATACATGTTGCAAACTAACTATCAATATCAATCATAAGGCAACAACTTCATCTTATATCTTGAAGTTAATTATGTCCAAAGTAAGGTGAGAACTTAATTTTACTCCAAGTCAGATAATTACAAGGGTATGTGATATGAGAAAAACAACTATATCCAAATATGAGAAAAATAACTATATCCAAATATATGATAATTACAAGGGTATATGATATGCACGGAGGAAGACATTGACTAAAATCTATGGAGATTGGGAGAAATCTTACAAATTACTTCCGTAATATCTTGAAGCAATTAAGAAAAAAAATCCGAGTACCAAATACGAAATATTGTCTAAAGAAATCAGTATATTGCTAGATGGAATGAGCGACATTTTAGTATTGTCAAGCAACTTTAACCTCTGATGGAGAAAATAGATTATATACAATAGTATTGTGGCATTACCAGAAGATGGATAATCACTCAAACCACGTCCCTTGTCGACGAAATCGAGATACGTTCCTAACAAGCGAGATACGTACCAAGGGGTGTAGATGATAGAGAATGTTCAAGTAAATTACATAATTTCAAATAATTTTCCATCCATTTTTAGTTTTTTAATCCCTTGTTAGCTTTTGGTTGCTTATATATATCTTTTTATGTAATTACAGATAGACGCTATGGATGAGATATAGGGTATTACAAATGAAGGCATAGCTACCGTAAGAGGAGATTTAGTACATGTATCGGTATTACAGAGGATTCGTAGAGCTCTACATCGAACTCATGAGGGTCGACATAATGGTCGCGAGCAGATGGCGCATGAGGAGGATGTCTTATATGCATGCTGACAAAGATGTGGTGGATCTAATGAAGCTGGTTCATCACATCCCCACAGGCAACCGGAGAGCGAGCACGTGCAAGCTCAAGTTTAAGGAGGACGCCGACGATCTGAGCGGTTACAAAGAGGAAGACAACGGGGGAGGGGCGGACTTTCCGATTGTATGTGATAGTTTATTGGTTTTTCTGCTTGGACTCTATTTGTAATTAAATATATTCGATGCATTTGAATTTGTTAGGAGTATTTTAGCGTATGGATATGTATATGAGGTATCTATTGTGTTTTGATGTTGTGAATTGATTAAATGTGTTTTAATTTATATTTATTTCTTAAAATTTATAACTTATAGAACGATTATGCTATTTAGCAATGTATATGAGGTGGATTTATATTTTTTGTGCATATAATACATTTTATATACGCAGGGTATAAACCGGGAGCAATCTGTGCATGTTTTGTATATGTTTTGGGCTGCCTAGAAAATCCACGGGACTACTAGTCCCATGGGTTTTTTGGGCAGCAGAGAGCAAAGACTCTGTAAAATCCATAGAACTACTAGTCCCGTAGAAATTTTAAAACTGTTCAGAAAACCCACGTGACTAGTGGTCTCATGGGTTTTCTGTGTTTAGTTTAGTGGCCGATTAGCGGCATAAACACACGGGACTATTAGTCCTGTGTGTTTTAAAACCCAAATTCAGCAAAACTGACATCTTTTTGGCCAGTCTTGGTGAGCTGGCCAAAAAGAGGTCGGTTTTGCTAAATATTTAGCAAAACGGTTAGTTTTGCGAAATATTTTTCAAAACCTGCCTATTTTAAAAACTTCTCCTTCCTTCTTACGGTAATAATCGGAAGCAGCGGGCCAAATATCTCTTCTGTCATGATTTCAGCGTCCAGCGGAGGATCTAACACAACCGTTGGCTCAATCGTCCTATAGTTTTCAGATTATTAATTGGTGATAATGGAAAATTGAAACTAATGACAAAAACATGAGATTTTAACGTAATTTACTGGTTCTTGTAATCCACGGAGCCTCCATGCACAATGGATGATGTAACTGAAGGATTCTTCAGGAGATTGCTGAGTCTCTGGAAATGATGCTCGTTGACAATCTTCGCTGTGTCATCAGGTTTCGGGTAAAATCTCTTCAGTGTTCCCTTTATCATTTCAACCTACAATTACCAAGATGAAGAAAAGAGAGGAGGGGGGGTGGTTAAGGAAAAAAAAAAACATTACAGTAGTAGTAAACTGATACATAAGCAAAAACCAAGAGTTGAATTTAATCAGTTCGAAGCTTGGTCGTCGTAGATCGTTGAGTACCAGAATGGGTGCAAATTTCTCTTCCACGAGTAAATAATCGATTGCTACGCAGGCTTGGCCATTGCAGGAGCCCCACTTTCCTGCAACCACTCGCTCGACAGCTACCTTAAAAGAGTTCGAAAGATTAATGGAACAGTAAGCACCCATGACTTCAGCCGTAAAAAAATACAGAATGGAATTTATATTGAAAAAGAAATTAAGCACCTATATTTATAATATTGCATGAAAATTATTCACGAGAAAAAAATGGAATTTATATTGAAAAAGAAATTAAGCACCTTAAAATCAGATGTTGTGCATGTAATTTACAAAGTAGGAACAAAGCTAGAATTTTAAATTGAGGAGGCCAAGAATCTAAAATATATATAAGTGCCATCTTTTTTATTTTATTTAAAAGAAAAAACACTAACTTCAAGCCAAATTTGTATGTTCATACAATAAAAAAAAAGGCAGATAAGGTGCCTCACAACATAAGCGTGTCTTGCAATAATACTTCATAAACTCCACGTTCAAGTTCTCTTAGACCGTACAATAAACTCATGGGTCTAGATGAAATTACAGAAAGAAAATTCGCTATATGGATCTCTTCATTGGATGCAAACATACTCATTCACTCAAGAAACTTTGGTAGCTATAAATAATTAAAGAAAGAAGAGCATTTACTTACACAAGAAGAGAGATAGAAGTCCACAAACTCCTAGTTCTTGTTCTTTTAGACAAGATGACAAACACGTGTTGTGCATATTTATGGAATCATGAAAAATAAAACCAACTCTAATTGCAATCACTTTGTTGGATGCAAAAATATATATTCGTCAATGGCTTGTGGATATGGAAGTTATATATATTTATTTAAACTAGAACGCATATGATGAGCGAAATACCTATAGCTCTGCCTGTGTGGGGAAGCATTCCTATGTTTTAGTTATAACCCTCAAATGGTCAAAACTTACCATAACTTTGGAGTTTTGGTGTAGTGGAAGGGTCATTCGACATGATGTCAAAGCAACCAAGTTTGAACATACTAGTCATAAAGTTCTAAAGCGGATCTGAGAAAAATATATTGCCTAGTTGTCAAATGACAATAGCATTGTGACACAACTCCGAAGTTGTAGTGTGTTAGGAGTTATAATTTTATATTCTAACATGCCACCACAGATGAGCGCCCTTTTTTATGGGCCGAAACCTGGACTCAAGTAGTGATATCAATTTTTTATAAAATCCACATTAAGTTTGTGTCCAGTAACCTAAGTTGTTGCTCTAATACCATGTCAAATAGCCCCCACTGCGCCACATCTTTGAAATTGAAGTGAGGGTTGAGAGTAGTTAGAGCAACTCCAAGAGGCTCCCTATCCCATGTCCTAGCTCAAATTTAGGGAGTATGAGGTGAATATTTGGCTCCAACAAGCTCCCTATATGGTATTCCAAATATAGGGTTCTTGATTTGGTATTCCAAATCAAAGACAGGAAGAGACACTCCCTATGTCTACAGTACAATAATATGTTATCATTTTTGTTATTTTTTTGGACATATCATTGATTGCAAACACAAATCTACATAAAGTATTGACAAAAAAATACAATAACATAGTACAATAATAGAAAATACAATAATATAGGGAGTCATTTGGGGAGCATTGTTGGAGCACTTGCTTCTTATTTGACTCCCTATTTCCTAATATGGGATATTTACTCCTCAAATATAGGGAAAAACTAAGATCATTGTTGGAGATGCTCTTATATTCTAACACCTGTGAGTCCAGGTTCCGACCAATAAAAGAGCCCTCAATTTATAGGGCCATGTTAGAATATAAAAGTATAGCCCTCAGCCCAAGTACAACGTGCAAATCACGGAGGTTGGGTGCCTCCATCAATATCGCAGTAAAACTTCTGCAAGACATTTGCTTTAGACGGTTATCTTTCCGCTCAGAGAGCACCTAAACTTGCATTTCACTCTGCGTTCGTACCTTTTTGTCTCTAGAGCTTGAGAGATAATCCACAATGGCAGGGCATTTCCCGCCAAGCTCCAGAGCAACCGGCGTCAGATGCTTCGCAGCTGCTGCCATGACCATCCGCCCAATTCTCGTGCTACCTTTGAAACAATTTGGTTGTACTTCTCAAAACCAAATTTTGTAGATACTGTCACGTAACTAAAAACTAAAACCATCAAGGATTTTGTGAGTTACCAGTAAAGAATATCTTGTCCCATTTGTGCTCCAACAGTCGTTCTCCTATGCGAGGACCTCCTTCGATGACCTTCACTGCTTTGGGGTCCAAATACTTAGGGATAGTGTTTGCTAAGAATGCAGATGATGATGGAGCTAGTTCTGAAGGCTTCAGTACTACTGCATTTCCAGATGATATAGCTCCTATTAGTGGCTCCAGTGAAATCCCTGGATAAAAGCAGTCATGAGGCAACTTTTGAAATATAGTAGTAAATATAGTTTTATGTGACTGTTAAATAATAAATCTTTGTTTTTCATAATTTCCGTGTCGTGGTAAATACTAGACTGTCATTAAAACCAAAATTTCGCTTGGCAACCATGTTGTTCTCCAGAGCAAATGACCTTTCCCTGTATAATCATTCAGTTGTGGGCTAATTGCGAAAGATAATTATAGTAATGCTAATACCTTTTGACACCACAACAATTTTCAACTCGTCGAGAATTTGCATAAAGCATCATCATCCTTTATAGTTTGCCTTGATCTACTGCCAAAGGATTGTTTATATCCATGATTAATGTCTCGTATCCATTTCTCTTCTGTATGTCATACTTTCTGTAGTTCCACGCATAAGTAATCACATGATAATGTAGGAAAAATTGAGAATTTGACAAATTCCCCAAATACAGTGTCATATGGGCTAGCATTTAATTACCTGATTTTGGGTGCGTTAATCTGCAATTTATGATAGTTATAATCATGGGTCCTTATATTCAAATATGTGGGGACTCCTAATACTACTCTGAACAAAACTGATGGAGACCCCATGAGCAGAGAATTGAGAAAATTTCCACAGGCATTTAAGCACACTAATAATGAATGACAAAACAGCTAGTAGCTTTTCAATTTCTTGGGAAAACTAGTAGGTATACCAAAGAAAGTAGGTAATTGCATTGTAGAAGGTTAATCTATATATTTTCTTTATGATGACTATGGTATCAAGAAAATGTACAAGAGAAGGCGGGTAACTTCTTCTTAGATCCAAAAGTCATGAGATTGAACATATATGAGACATGACATGGACCATCTTCTTCATTTCCCTTTTTTATTGATGCTATACAAATTCAAATGACTAGTATGAAGATGTTTCATTTGTCGCAAAATTTACATCATAGTTTTAAGTGCAAAAAAAAAAAAAAAATCCAGCATAGAATTTCTCAAAGATAATACCATAAGTTTTGTGATTTAATTAGGGATCTGATTCTGTTTAATCTCCTATTTCTTATATTGAGCCAGCCTTCATTTATCGCAGTATAATAACAGAGGCGAAAGAGAGAATAATTCATCAAGTACCAATCGGGAAATTCCACGAAGAGATCAGAAGAACAACTCCAAGAGGCTCTGCCACCAGCTCACAAGTTGATGGGAACGCAGCAATTGGAATGTCGACCTGAACAGGATCATGTAATTTTGTTATGTGCTTATGTTATGTCTCCATAAATCATTTTCTTAGTAAATTAAACTATGCATGGTCACCTTTTTCGGAGCCATCCATTTCTTGATATTGTCCAGATGATAGTTCACTGATTTGAGCAGGAACCCTATCTGCATACATAAGAATATAAATTAATGATCATTGAAAAATAATTAGTGTATTAAGCTGTTCATTCTCTATGTAGAAATTCATTAGGATGAAGGGATTAAATAAAAAAAACTAAAATTTTGTTAAGAGCCTTCTGCTTTTATGATTAAGCCCACCAACTCTTTCAAATGCGAATCCTTTATGATTAAGCTGTTCATTCTCTATGTAGAAATTCATTAGGATGAAGGGATCGCAAATTTTGAGATCGCTCCAAATGTGAGACTGCACTCACTCTTGAAGTTTGTCCACACCGAGAGGGTGAAACAATATTCAATAAAATGCTGGTGTTGTGAGCGAAATATATATGAATACGAATATAAGTCGCATGTATTTTTTCTCAAAAATACTATGTGATTTATTTACGTCCGCATTCATTTTTCGCTCACGACGCAGTAATATGATGAGTGTTATATTTGACACAAATCACGACTACTCGTAATTAACTAACAAACGGTTGCAATTAAAAATAGCGGTCTCGCCTCATCTCTGAAAGCCTCAACTCTATGCTTGCCGAGATCCTCTTTGAGAACCCTGAAGATTTCATCCTCAGTTTCCACTAGAAGCCGCAGAAGAGCGTTCAGCTGAGATTTTCTCCAAGACAAGCTCTTTGTCTTCCCACCCTCAAAAGTATCTCTCACTTCGTTCAGCACTGCTTCTAAACCCGCAGCCGCCATTTGTTTCTACTGTGAGAGCTTCTAACCCCACAAACTCCTGTATTTATGGAGCTCAAATTGTCCAGAGTCCGTACTTTTAGAAAAATATCAAATAAAATAATAAAAAAGTCTGGCCTGATCAGGAGCAGTCGTGTAAATACCGCCCTAGAAGATTGAGGACCCGTCTATCGCTCTGACGCAGATGATCATTTCTTCCCTAGCGGTAAAAACCCCCGGAAGAGGCCGGCTTCTGTACTCGGGCGAGAGAACAGAGCTTCAGCTCAAACGAAGAACGATTGCCCAAAAATAACACCAACATATGACGAAAATAATATGTAGATGAGAGAAGAGGAAAAAGAGAGAATTGTTTCTGTATATATTCCGAATGTGAATAAAGGGTGAATATATATAAGGTTGAGAAAGTCATTACAATTTTTACAATTGATACGGTAATGTTCGTCATAAATTTTCGTAACGTTCTCCATAATGTATAGCTGTTACGTACGTTTTAATTGTATTCATAACATTATTCCACGTGAGACTTTCCATAAAAATAAAATTGTCTTTTCTCCAACAATATATCCAACACGTACTCCCCTCACCACTCACCCACACGCACACATTGCCTCTCATGGCTGAGATTTGAGAACATTGGTATGCATCAAATCCCGTCTTTAGCATTAAATGCTGCTGATAGCACAAAGAGTGCCAGCTCACATTTGGTACGGAGAAGCTTTATACTTCGTTACAGAAGCAACTTAAGTTTGTGACTGGACTGATTCTGGCAGGGTAAAAGCTCTTCTAAGCCTTAACTGGATTGAAGGTTCTGTCCAACAATTTTCTATCTGGGGTTTACTTTGAGATTCGTGCCGGGGTGAGATACATGTCAAAACTATATTGGAGATGCGTGTCTTGATCTGTATTACACACAAGGACGAATCTCAAATCAAAATCAAGGGATAAAACAATTGATGTATGTTACAATGTTTGTTTATAAAATAGTGAATTAAAATGATGAAAGCCTTTTTTTTAAGTGAGAAAGCGTATCCATGTCAGCATGTAAGTAAAATACAATGTTTGTTTATAAAATAAGTTATTGTTTGTTTGGTGGGAAAATTCGAAGAAGAAAATTGAGAACAAAAATGTGTTATTCTCTCTAACTAATTTAGATAAAAAATAATTATAGCACTCTCAATACAATTTCTCTCTAACAAACTTTAGAAAAGAAATTACAATTCTTTTCAATCGAAATCCCGATTTACAAAAGAGAGAAGGGTCGATGGAGATCCTTCTAATTGTTTAAAACTGGGTTCTTCACAGTAGCGATGAGATGCCTCCCTCGATGTTCGTATCGAGTTTGCTTTTCGTTGATGATCCGGACATCTTGTTTCACTAGAACATGGTTGATTCCTCTTGATTGATATCGAGGATAATTTGCGTGGCAAGTTTGAAAATAACTCTTATCGAGTTTAAGAACTCAGAGCGAGTTTAAACTCTGTAACAGAGTTGATTTGAACCGAAAATCGATTTTAAGCCAAGCACCAAGCTCCAAGAACTTTGTTGTTGAAGGAAACTCCAAGATGATCTGCTCAAGAGATTGTTGATCTCTCCTTTTGTGATTTTTTTTTATGCAAAAAAGCCGATCCTAAACTCAATTGAATTTCTGGTATTTATAGGGGATTAAGGGGTGTAACCGCCCCTTAATCCTGTCCTTAATGGGGGCTTAATTATCCCATTAATCGGGTGTAACAGCCCCTTAAACGGTCCCCAAATCGTGGGAAAAACGGTTTTGAAACCGTTCAGTTCGTGCTTTGAATGAATCAAACGCCAGTCTGAGCGTTCTGATAATGAACTCTGCGTTCTGGACTTACAACGCAGAGTTTAGGTTTGCGTTTAGGCAAAAACGCAATGGTCGCACTGCTTTTTGAACTGGGAATATAGTAGTGAGCCTTGTGTTTTGAATCTGGGACGAGGTCATGAGCCCTGCGTTTTGAGTCTGGAAGTGAGCATGACCTCTGCGTTTTGAGTCCGGAACACGGGCTTGAGCCCTGTGTTTTGACTCTAGAACGCGGGCATGAGCCTCACGTTTTGATTCTGGAACGCGGACATGACCTCTGCATTTTGACTCTAGAAAGCGGACATGAGCCTCACGTTTTGACTCTGGAACGTGGGCATGACCTCTGCGTTTTGAATCTGGAACGCGAGCATGAGCCCTGTGTTTTGACTCTAGCACGCAAGCATGAGCCTCATGTTTTGACTCTGGAACGCGGGCATGACCTCTGCGTTTTGAATCTGGAACGTGGGCATGAGCCCTGCGTTTTGACTCTGGAACGCAGTCATGAGCCCTGTGTTTTAACTCTGGGACACAGAGGCAAGCCTCAGGCGAGCTTGGCGAGCTTCAGGCTAAGTCTCATGTTCAGGCGAAGTCCAGTCTTGTGGACGGACTTCAGAACATAACTTGCTACGAAGAACATGTCATAACTTTCAAACCGTAAGTTGGAATTGGACGAATTATATATAAAAATCGACTATCTCGACGAGACGGAGCCGACCAAACTAACCCCAAAGAGTTCGATTTTCTCCTGTCCATTTCGCCAAATTCCTTACGGTTTGAGAGATATCTGCGTTTTGATTTAAAGAGATCGTCAATTTGTAATCTCTTTTGTTAGAGTGTTGCAAAGATCGTCATCTTATAACCTTCGTCTTGACTCCTTGAAAATATGAGAGTCATCAGATTGTAACTCCCGATGTTGATTGTGAAGGCTGTTGAATTAGAGCTTTCATCGGTTGTTATGAATGTCGTCACATTGTAACCTTTATTGATCTACGTGAAAATTTTCTAATTGTAGCCTTCTAGAAGCCGTCAAATTATAACTTCCATCATTGGTGTTTGATGGGGATCAACAATCTACAGTAATTTTTAGACAGCTTATATTGTTGTAACTAGAAAAAGGAAGATGACATAGCAAATATCATTTTACTTATTTATTTAAAATCAACTTTCAAGTTGCTTTAAAATAGTTAAATCACTCACTTTTTGCTAACTTATTTTGAACCATTAAAATCCAGTAAAAAATAGTTATCCTTAGTTTTTGACTAGAATGTTGAATTCGTTACAAGCAATCATAAACGTACACCACTTTTCCTACTATTTTGATACTACCATAAAAAAAAGTTGGGTCATTTGATGAGTTACAACTTCTTTTTTATAATTTTTAAGGAAGGACTCCACTTTTTTGTTTGTGATAGTGCCAAAATAGTATGAAAGGTATAGTGCGCTTATCATATTTCATTCATTATTCCCCCCAGATGATAATGCAACTTTCAAGTTGGTGACTGAGTCGATTCATGGAGCGTAAAAGCTCTTGTAAGCTTTAGTAGATTGAAGGCTCTGTTTATCAATTTTTTGCATGTTGGATTTGCTTTGAGATCATGTTGGTGCACGCGTGACATACGTAAAAATATGTTTGAGTAGTGTGTACGTCTTGATGTGTATCTACACACCAAGATGACTCTCAAATCAAAATAAAGATATAGAAAAGGAAGAAATTTTTGATTTAAACTCATTCCAACTTTTATTTTGAAAAACCGACCCACTCCCATTTTATTTAGAGAAACCGACCTATTTCGTGGCCACGTCAGCACCGTGTCCACGAAATGGGTCGGTTTTTTTATTCTCGCCTCCAAATAGACAGGGTTGCCAACCCCGACTATTTTGCACGCCCTGGTTAATATACATGATAAATTAGTCGGGGTTGACAACCCCGACTAATTTAGCACACTGTCTAACTGGTCGGGGTTGGGAACCCTGACCAATTTGAAATCCTTTAGGGGACTTGATCGAAGGGGAAAGTTAGAGGCACTGGTGAGGAAACTCGATATTTGACGCGATACGAGCCTGTTGAGGGTGCTGGTCGATTTAAGGATCTCGGGCTTGAGAGCATCTGTTATAAAGAGGTCGATTGTTGGGGTGACGATGGAGATGTTGGCAGATGATTCAGAGCTAATGGTTAACGTGAGTTTCTTGAGAATTGGAAGCCGTTCTTTGAATCTGGATGTTTAGAAATACAGTGAAACTGAGAGCCAATGCCTGCAATTTAAAGTGCTGCATGTTAATTCTCTCTTCCTACTCAAGTTAGGAATCCTACTTGGACAGTTATAACAATGATTATAATTCAAACTAGCTTAGGAATTGACTTGATTTAAATCTTCCTTTCCTGCAGCTTTGAATCCTAAAGGTTGTGTCATATAGATCTTCTCATCTAAATCTCCGTATAGAAAGGGTGTCTTCACATCCATCTGGACCAAATCCAAATCCATCTGCGTCACTAATGCCAATAAAATCTGAATCGATGAATGCTTCACAACGTGTGAAAATACCTCGTTATAATCAACGCCCTCAAGCTGTGCATATCCATTGGCAACCAATCTGTCTTTGTACCTAATATCCCCAATAGAAGATCCCTCCTTCTTCGCATATACCCACTTGTAACCAATAGCTTTTTTTACCCTTAGGTAGCTTTGCAAGTTCCCAAGTGTCGTTCTTTTGAAGAGACCGCATCTCCTCCTCCATAGCTTCCCTTCACCTGATCGAATCGGGGCTAGACTCAGCCTCTCTGAATATGGATGGAACTATATCATCAACAACCTCCACTGGTAATGCATATGCGACCATGACATCATTATACCTAGTTAGCCGACGAATCACCTTTCTAGGTCTATTCGCTGCAATAGACTCCTGAACATAACCCTGCTCCTGAGTCTCACAATCCACTGTATCCTCTATCTGCCCGGCTATCATCCCATCTCCTCCCAGTGTCATCTCTATAGGAGCCTCAATGGATATAATGCTAACTGGAGTAGGTGGAGTCACATCATCCTCCATCTGCTGTGATATCTCTCGAATCTGGTCTTCCTCCACCTGCCGAGGAACTTGAGGACTCACCATGTACGCCTCATCAAATGTGACATCCCTGCTAATAACTATCTCTTTATCATGTGGATCTCATAATTTGAAGCATTTAACTCCATCTCTAAA